CCTCATTGTGGTGTCTAAAATTCCGATTTTTAAATGGAATTTTATCCTTTTGAATCCCCAACCCCCCTCCGTGACCCAGGGCCTCATTGGGATGTCTAAAATTCCGATTTTTTCTGGAATTTTATCCTTTTGGATGCCCCAAACCTCCCCCCATGACCTCATTGTGGCGTCTAAAGTTCCGATTTTTTTTTTTTTTTTTTTTGGGTCCCCCCCCGTCCCCGTCCCCGCAGGTTTTTCGTGGTGGAGGATCACATCCTGCACAGCACCCAGGGCCTGGTGAGCCGAGCCTACCTGGAGGAGCTCTGGGATTTGGCTCTGTCCAAAAGCGTCGCCGCCCTCAGGACGCACTCGGTGAGTAAAGCCCGGCTTAGCCAGGCCCCAGTGCAGTGACACCAGGTTGGGATTTGTGGGGTTTGTGGGGTTTTTGGGTTTGTTGGGTTCGTGGGGTTTTTGGATTTGTTGGGTTTTTGGTTTTGTTGGGTTTTTGGTTTTGTTGGGTTTTTGGTTTTGTTGGGTTTTTGGATTTGTTGGGTTTGTTGGGTTCGTTGGATTTGTTGGGTTTTTGGATTTATTTGATTTGTTGAGTTTGTTGGGTTTGTTGGGTTTTTGGGTTTTTGGGTTTTTGGTTTTGTTGGGTTTGTTGGGTTTGTTGGATTTGTTGGATTTGTTGGGTTTTTGGATTTATTTGATTTGTTGGGTTTGTTGGGTTTTTGGATTTGTTGAGTTTGTTGGGTTTGTTGGATTTGTTGGGTTTTTGGATTTATTTGATTTGTTGGGTTTTTGGATTTTTTGGGTTTGTTGGATTTATTGGATCCATTGGGTTTATTGGATTCTTGGATTTTTGGATTCGTCGGGTATATTGGGTTCGTTGGATTTGTTGGGTTTGTTGAGTTTATTGGATTTCTTGGATTCCTTGGATTCCTCGGATTTTTGGATTTGTTGGGTTTGTTGGATTTCTTGGATTTGTTGAATTCCTTGGATTTTTGGATTCGTTGGATTTTTTGATTTGTTGGATTCATTGGATTCATTGGGTTTGTTGGGTTTTTGGATTTGTTGGATTCATCAGATTTGTCAGGTTTATTTGATTTATTGGATTTATTGGATTCATTGGCTTTGTTGGATTTGTTGGGTTGTTGGGGTTTTTGGATTTGTTGGGTTTGTTGGGTTTGTTGGACTTGTTGGATTTATTGGATTTGTTGGATTTTTTGGGTTTGTTGGATTTATTGGATTTATTGGATTCGTTGGGTTTATTGGATTTTTGGACTCGTCGGGTTTACTGGGTTCGTTGGATTTGTTGGATTTATTGGATTTGTTGGATTCGGTGGATTTTTTTATTTGTTGGATTTGTTGGGTTTGTTGAGTTTATTGGATTTCTTGGATTTGTTGGATTCCTTGGATTTTTGGATTTGTTGGGTTTGTTGGATTTCTTGGATTTTTGGATTCGTTGGATGTATTGGGTTTGTTGGATTTTTGGATTTACTGGATTTGTTGAATTTCTTGGATTCGTTGGATTTTTGGATTTGTTGGATTTATTTGGTTTAT